ATGCAATATTAAGAGGAGTCAGAAGACTTGAGTGTGTCTCAGCTTTTATACTTCCTAGCTGTTTAACCTTGTAAAAGGCATTTCAACTCTGAGCCTCAGTTTTCTCATCATTAAGGATGACTTTCTTTTTTTTTGTTTTGTTTTTAAAAACATACTTTTATTGATTTTTAATTTTTTCCATGTTTTGTTATTTTTCCCACTTAATGGTATTTTAATTTTTTCCAATTACATGTAAAGATAGTTTTCAACATTCAGTTTTATAAGATTTTGAGTTCCAAATTTTTCTCCCTACCTTCCTCCCCTCCCCTGCCCCAAGACAGTAAAGAATTTGATATAGGTTATACAGGTACATTCATATTAATCATATTTCCCCATTAGTCATATTGTGAAAGAAGAATCAGAACACATGGGGAAAACTATGAGAAAGAAAAAAACAAAAAAAGTGAAAATAGTCTGTATTCAGACTCCATAGTTCTCTGTGCAGATGTGGATAGCATTTTCTATTTTGAGTCTTTTGGAATTGTCTTGTATCATTGTACTTCTGAGAAGAGCTAAATCTATCAAAGTTAGTCATCGCACAACCTGGCTATTACTGTGTACAACATTCTCCTGGTTCTGCTCACTTCACTCAGCATCAGTTTATGTCTTTCCAGGTTTCTGAAATCCATCTACTCATCATTTCTTATAGAATAATAGTGTTCCATTACATTCATATGCCACAACTTGTTCAGCCATTCCTCAAGTGATGGGCATCCCTCAGTTTCCAATTCTTTGCCACAACAAAAGGAGCTGCTATAAATATTTTTGTATATGTGAGTTCATTTCTCTTTTTCATGATCTCTTTAGGATATAGACCTAGTACTGGTATTGCTGGATCAAAGGGCATGCACAGTTTTACAGCCCTTTGAGCACAGTTCCAAATTGTTCTCCAGAATGGTTGGATCAGTTCACCACTCCACTAACAATGCATTAATGTTCCAATTTTCCCACATCTTCTCCAACATTTATAATTTTCCTTGTCTGTCATATTACCCAATCTAATAGGTGTGAGGTGGTATCTGAGAATTGTTTTAATTTTCATTTCTCTAATCAATAGTGATTTAAAGCATTTTTTCCATATGACTATAGATAACTTTAATTTCTTCATCTGAAAACTGCCTGTTCATATCCTTTGACCATTTATCAACTGGGGAATGACTTGTATTCTTGTAAATTTGACTCAGTTTTCCATATATTTGAGAAATGAGGCCTTTATCAGAAACACTGGCTGCAAAAATTGTTTCCCAGCTTTCTGCTTTCCTTCTAATCTTGGTTGCTTTGGTTTTGTTTGTGTAAAAACTTTTCAATCTAATGTAACAGAAATTATCCATTTTGCATTTCATAATGTTCTCTAGCTCTTGTTTGGTCATAAATTCTTCCTTTCTCCATAGATCTGATAGATAAACTATTCCCTGCTCTCCTGAGCTTTCTGTACATCACACTCAGCCCCTAGCAGAGTTCTTTGTACATAGCAGGTGCTCAAAGAGCCATGAAAGGAAAGTTTAATGAAAGATATCATACATTATTTTCCAACCAGTGCAAAAGTGAACTTGTGTCTTTGCTGTAATGTTCTGGGTTTCCTTACTCTCATTTGCCAATTTTTGACCAAGAGGATCATACATTTAAAGGTGAAAGGGGCCTTAGAGGTCATCATACAAGCCATTCATTTCATAGGTATGAAAACTGAGTACCAGAGAAATTAAGTGATCTGCCCAAGGTCACCTAGGTAGTGTTGGGGTTTGAATCCAGATTTTTTGATTCCTGATAACAGACTTTCCATTGTACCACATTGCTCTTTAAGCCAGTGGTGTGTTGGTAAATATTTAACTGGTTCTCCAGAAAAAATTAATGAATGCACAATACCTTTTTGCACTCTTGGAGATATATTAGGAGCATAGAAAATCCAAATAGCTGCAAAACATATCGCAACTTAATTTAATATTTTTATTAACATTTTCTCCATCACTTTCTTAAATCTAGACAATAAAGAAAACAGTAAATCAAGCCCTGACTTAACACCATTTGCTAATTTCTAACATGTAAATGCTCACACTGAAAATTTAACAATAGGTTCTCAAAAGCTGGTGGAACCGGTGCCAGCACACAACTTGGTATTCGCTTCTTAAAGAAGCCTGTTCACTAAATGGGCATTACCTCACTCAAAGTGAGAACCTGAAAAGACAGCTTAAAAGCGCCAGGGTTTCCCATTGCATCCTGGGTCATCTCTAGTCATCTTGTTGAATAACTGGCCACTGGACCCAGATGGCTCTGGAGGAATAAGTGATCTTGCACAGCCCTCCCCTCACTCAAGTCAAAGGCAATTGCAAGTCATGTCATCATGTCCCTGATGTCATGGTCATCTTTAAGAACAAAGGATAAACACAACCTGTGAAGGAAGGGAGGGGGTAGGGAGCTTCATGGAGTAATTTAAATCTGTTAAATTATGGGAAAGAGCAGAACTGTGAGTCAGGGGGACTGCATTCTAGTCCCAACTTAGCCAAGAGCTGACTATGTGATCTTGGACAAATTATTTACCTCATCTCTATGGGCCTCAGGCTCCTACTACATGCAAAGGATTTAAAAATTACCTCTAAGTTCTTTTCTGGGCAGATAGATGGCACAGTGGATAGGGCCTGGAATCAGAAAGGCTCATCTTCCTGAGTTCAAATCCAGCCTCAGACACTTACTAGCTGTGAGACCCTGGGCAAGTCAATTAACCCTGTTTGCCTCAGTTTTCTCATCTATAAAATAAGCTGGAAAAGGAAATGGCAAACCACTCCAGTATCTTTGCCAAGAAAATCCCAAATGTCACAAAGAGTAAAAACTAAAGTTTCCTTCTAATTTCAACATTCTGTCTTTTAAGACCAATTACTATGTATTTGGGCATGGACGGTATAAATGGAAAGGCTACTGGATTGCTCTGTGTGGGGATCGGTAGGGGAGATGACAACCATGTTTCAATATACACTGACAAGTTCCACATGTATGACACATACTGAAAAATGACTGAAGGCCAGTCTTCCTATAAATTCTGGAAAAGTTCCTGCAGAGTTCTGAGTATATTTGGGAAAACTCCTTTTCTACTAAACAATAGCTGCTCAAAATCTGGGAAATTCAGAAATTTCAGTTAGGCTAGGCAAAAGGCTTGATATATAACTAAATCCTGAAAGCCACCAGAGGAGTAGGTGGGGAAAATCACTTTCAGTGGTTGCTTTGATGTACCCTGACACCTGAAAGTTGACATTGCCCCAGATTTCCCTTCTTAATCACAATGGTTTTGCCAAGATCAATATAAAAGCTACTTAGTAGCATCTCAGTGGGTCTGGGCAGGGTGTAGTCCAAGAGCGGGCTGTGTAGGATCCATGGGGACAATGATTTCATGTTTTAAATGCCATCAAGAAGGTAAACTGAGGTTATTATAGTTTGGAATTAGGGGGCTAGAAAGTCACTATCCCTGGCCAATTAAAAAAACAAACATCTTACTTTTTGATCTGTTTTATTTGTGGTGTTGGATAGTGAAGAAAATCAGAAGACCTAAGTTTTAGTGTTGCCTTTGGCACTTCCTAACTGAATGACTATGGACAATTCACATCACTTCTAGGAGCCTCATTTTTTCTACTGTCAAATGGGTATAACAATACCTTCATTATTGACTCCACAGGACTATTGTGGGAAAGTGCTTTAAGATTTAGAAATAAATTGACAAATATGACCAAAAATAAATAATCAGTGTTGCAGGGGGTAGGGAAAGACTAGTGCATTGCTGATGGACCTGTGGATTGGTCTGTTCTGGAAAGCAATTTGGAATCTCTCTCTCTGTCCCTGTCTGTCTCTTTCTCTCTGTCTGTTTCTCCCTTTCCCCCGTCTCTATCTGTATTTCTATTTCTCACATCTCTATATTTCTATCATCTATATACCTATCTTCATCTATCTCTATGTATCTAACTACACTGATTCCATGCCCATTGTCCCAGAGATTCCACTCCAATCATAAACCCCAAGGAGATCAAAGAAAGAATGGAATATCCCGTGTAATCTGAAATATTCATAGCAACACTTTTTATTTTTTTATAGCGAAGAACTGGAAACTAGGTAGGTGCCTGCCACTGGGGAATGGCTAAACACTTGTGGTACATGAATGTAATGGAATATTACTGTCCTGAAAGAAATGATGAGGATGAAACATCCAGAGACTCTTGGGAAAACATATAAACTGATATTGCTTTAAATTAGCAGAAAGCCAGAAAAAACAAATACATCCAATGACTGCAACAATGTAAACCAAACCGACCAAACTAAATGTCATGTCATTGGAATGATCAGGCTTGGCCTCAGAGAAGAGCTGAGAGAACGCACCTCATTTCCTTTGGAGTGGTAGGAAGATTAGCAATGTAGAACACCATATATCCCATCAGACTTGTTTGTTGGGCTGGTTGGTTTTCCTGAACTGTTTTTCTTCCACCTTTCTTTTTAGTCTTTGTTACAAGGTATGGCTACTGAGAAGGGAAGGATTACATTTGGCAATTAAGGAAACATAAAAACAAAATATATCAATCAAAAAAAATTTAAAAAGAAAAAAATACAAAATGTATTTTTTTTAACATCCCACTTTGTTACAAAGGATGACTACTGAGTAGGGAAGGGTTGGATTTAAAAATGAAAATGATGTAAAAACAAATAAAATTTAAAACAAATAAAATTTAAAAAGAACAGGGAAAAATACTAAATGAAAAGAAAACACATCCCATTGTTACAAGAAATGGCTTTTGAGTAGGGAACGGGAAGGAGGCTTTGTGAAGTGAATTGACTGTAAGAACCAAAAACCACCAAATAGAAGAAAAAAAGACCTTTTTTTCTTTTCTTTTTTCTTTTTTTTTTTATAACAAAAAGGAAATGCGAGCTGCATTAAACTCGGATATATCAAAGGCTCCATACGATTGCTTCAGAAAGCCAAACAAAACTTCCTGACTCCGGGTATGTTTTCCAAGCCATCATAAGCCCCTCAAGAGCTCCTCCCTCTTATCTCAGTTCTGCCTGACTTCTGTGTGAAGTCCCCGGGCCTCAGTTTTCTCATTCGTAAAATGAGATTCCACTTTTAACATTCTCTGGTCCTCGGACCACCTTTTACACACTCCTCGAGGAGCAAGGGGAAGGATAAAGTTTGTTCCCAACTGTTGTGAGAAGATTCAGAAAGTGACAAGTTCTCCAGGACTCTGCTGGCCCGCCCTGCTCCAGGGCGCGGCCATCCCGGGAATGAAGCTTGCGCTCTACGGAGCTCTCGCATGGGCGAGCAAGGCCGGGAGACAGCTCTGGGCAGAGCCTCGTCCGCCTCCGACCCGCAGACTCTTTGAACTTCGCCACGATTGGCTACTCTAAGCTGAGCCCGATCCCCCGCCAAGGCCAAAAGCGCTTTCTCTTTCTGAACTCCACGCCCAGCTTGCGAACTGAAGGTACTGGGGAAGGGGGAGGGGAATTTGTCTCTCCACGGGCTGCTTGGCATAGAAACAGGGCACGAACACGCGTGGATTTCCCCAGGGTTCCCTACAGCTAGCAGCTAGCTAGCTGGGTGGGTGCTGGGTCCCCGATCACAAGGCTGAGTGGTTTCTGTTTCGTTGTGTTTGTAGAAGGAGCCTGGTCAAAGATCGTTCCGAAACCGCAGCTTGCTGTCTAAAGCCCTAGCTCTCAGCCTCGCAGTTTTGTTTCTTCACCCACAAAGCCCAGGATTGTCAGGAAACCACTGTCTGGGCCTTATTTTAGAGCATGTGATTCTGTAGCTGTGAAAGTGAAGGGGTCCTCGCTCAGCTAGCCTATTTCAAAATCATGCTGTACCCATGGGGAATTTATTCTGGCTTCGGGTTAGAAAGGCAGCAAGAAATTGCTGCGCTGGTGGGTCCCGAGACGTTTGAGTTCAAATTCCAATTCTGAGGCTAGTGACTAGCTGTGTGATCCCTAGCAAGTTACTTAATATCTTTGAAACTCAGCTTTCTTATCTGTAAAATGGGGAACACAGCTCCCTTATTTACTTAAGGAGGAAGAGAGAGCTGAGTCTGAGGACCTGGGTTCAAATGCTGGCTCACCACATGTTGCTTAAATGACATTGGACAAGTCACTTAAGCTTTCTGGGCCTCAGTTGCTTCATCTGTAAAAATGAGTGAATTGGATTCTATGACCTGAATAATAATAATAATGATAGCTAACATTTATATAGCACTTTAAAGTTTGCAAAGCATTTTACAAATATTATCTCCTTTGGTCCTCATAAGCAACCCTATGAAGTGTTGTTCAATTGTTCAGTCCTGTCTGACTCTTTATGACCCCAAGGACCATGCCAGGCCCTTCTATCCTCCACTATTTTCAGAAGTCTGTCCAAGCTCATGTTTGTTGCTTCCATGACACTATTCTATCCATCTCATTCTCTGCTGTACCCTTTTCCTTTTGCCTTCAACCCATCCCACCCACCTAGGTGCTATTATTATCCCCATTTGGGGTAAGTGACTTGACCAGGGTCACACTCCTAGTAAGTGTCTCAAGTGTCTGGGGCTGGATCTGAACTCAGGACTTTTTGACTCTAGCCATTGTACCATCTTGCTGAATGGGTGGGACTAGATGACTCCTCAGGATCCTTCTAGTGCCAACTCTGTGATCATGTGACCTCATTGTAAAGATCAAAGGAGGAATGTATTTAAAGTACTTTGTCATATTGAAGTGATTTGTAAATATTAGCACCATAGCATGGAGGCTAAAGCCCTGGAGATGGTGTCAGGAAGGCTTGGGTTTATATCCTGTCTCTGTCACTAACCATGTGATCATGCAGGGGCAAAGTCACTTCTTTTCTCTAAGTCTCAATTTGTGCATTTGTAAGATGAGTATAAAACATGTAGGACATTTCTCATCAGGTTAAAAATAAGATAATTTTAATAATAAATAGTAAATTTGCTCTTTGCAACCTTTGCAGTTTGACTGAACATAGCTTTAGTCGTTTTAGTTGTGCCCAACTCTTCGTGACCCCATGTGGGGTTTTCTTGACAGAGATATTGGAGTGATTTGCTGTTTCCTTCTCTAGCTCATTTTACAGATGAGTAAACTGAGGCAAACAGGGTTAAGTGACTTGCCCAGGGTCACATAGCTAGGAAGTGTCTAAGGCCAGATTTGAACTTGGGCTTTCCTGACTTCAGGTCCAGCTTTTCGAATGTCAATTATTATTTTTGTGATTGTTACAAGTATGACAAAGGTCATCTTAAATATTTGATGATGTTAATGGTAAAATGACCAATGATTGTGAAAGAAAAACCATACTGGGAAAGGTGAGGTAATGGTTCTGAAAATTCCCAAAGGAAAGCCCTGAGAAAGTAGAAACCCACACAGTCACTGAAGGGATTTGTTCACCAAGAAAAGTCAGAGTATTTAAAGTAGATAGACCACTAGTTCTACAGTCAGAAGATTATAGATTAGAAGCTAGAAGGGATTTTAGGGGTCATTGAATCCAATGAGAACCAGAGAGATTGTGACTTGTCCAAGGTCACATGGAGGGGTGAATGGGAGAACCAGGATTTGAGTTTAGGTCCAAATCCAATCAATCAACAAGCATGTATTTAAGTGCCAGACATTTTGCTAAGTGCCAGAGGTACAAAGAAGAACAAAAACAGTCCCTGCCCTCAAGGAGTTTATATTCTTTTTTTTAATTTAATTTTTTTAATGAACAAAAATCTATTCTCTCTCTCTCTCTCTCTCTCTCTCTCTCTCTCTCTCTCTCTCTCTCTCTCCCTCCCTCCCTTCCCTCCCTCCCTCCACTGGCAAAAACAAAAAGACAAAAAATAAAAAACCAAAATGAAACAAAAAACCCTGTAATAAAAACACAATGCCTATAAATTCCAGTAAAACAAATTCCTGCCTTGCCTATGTCCAAAAAAATGTCTTAACCTGCAATTTGAGTCCATCACATGTATCAGGAGTTGAAGCAATGGAGTACACATTCTAATATGAATTAGGCAGCCAAGTGGCATAGTGGGTATAGCATTAGCTCTGGAGTCAGGAAGTCCTGAGTTCAAATCCAGTCTCAGACATTTACTGCATATGTGTCCATGGACAAGTCACTTAAGTTCTATTTGCCTCAGGTTCCTCGATTGTACAATGAGAGTAATAATATCACCTCCCTCCCAGTGTTGTAGTGAGGACCAAATGGGATAATAGTTGTAAAGTAATTAGCACGGTATCTGGAACATAGCTAGTGCTATACAAATGCTAGCTATTATTATTAATAGGGTAGATAACATGGACATAAAAAGGAATATAAAAAGCAACACAGAGTTGCTGTGAGGTAAAATCAGAAGTGGAGGCACCACCTATTTTGAGGACTGGGAAGGGCCTCCTACAGAAGTGGCTTGTGGGTTAAGACCTGAAGGAGTGCAGGATTCTAAGATACAGAGATGAGGAAGGAGAGTCTTCCAGTCCTGGGAGAGAGCCAGTGCAAAAACAGAGATTAAGGCTGTCATTGTAATAGTTTATGTGAGGAGGAATGAGGGATTAAATTCAGTGAGTACAATGCCTGGCACATAGTAGGTGCTTAATAAATGTTTATTGAATTGAACTAAGCTGATGGTTGTATGAGTGGAGAGAAAGGGAAGTATGCCAGAGATGTTGTGGAGAAAGAAATTATATGATTTGGCAATTGATAGAATATGAAAGATTGAGAGAGAGTAAGGAGTCCAGGATGATACTGAGGGCATGAAGCTGGTGACTGGAAGGATGGTAGTGTCGTCAACAGTAACAGGGTAATTCAGAAGCTGAGTAGGTTTAGAGGGAAAGATAAGTTCTGTTCTGGACATATTGAATTTGAGACGTTTTTGGACATCTAGTTTAAAATGTCTAATAGGCAGTTGGTAATATGAGACTGGAACTCAGGAGAGAGACTAGGGTGAGATATGCACACGCATGTACACTCAAACATATATAGATACAGACACATACACATATACGTGTGCATATATACATATATAAATAAAAATTTATTTAGTGTCTACTGTATACCAGGCACTGTGTTAAGCACTGGGGATACAAAAAGAGGCAAAAGACAGTCCCTGCCCTTAAGAAGTTTGCAATCTAATGGGGGAGAAAACATGCAAGCAAATATACTCAAAGCAGGGTATATGCAGGGTAAATAAAAAATAATTAACAGAGGGAAGGCATGAAAATTAAAAGAGGTTGGGGAAGGCTGCTTATAAAAGATGCAATTTTAGTTGGGATTTAAAGGAAGCTGTGGAGGGCTATAAGCAGAGCAAAGGAGGGGGGGCATTCTAGACATGAGTGTGTGTGTGTGTGTGTGTGTGTGTGTGTGTGTGTGTGTATGAAAATCGTCTACATTAGAAATGAAAACTAAACCCACAGGAGCTGATGAGATCACCAAGTGAGTTAGTATATAAAGAAAAAAGAAGTGGGACCAGGACAGAGCCTTGGGGGATTGCTGTAGTTCAGTTGCTTCAGTTGTGTGTAACTCTTTGTGACCCCACTTGAGGTCTTCTTGGCAAGATCCTGCAGGGGTTTACCATTTCCTTCTCCAGCTCATTTTACAGATGAGGAAACGGAGGCAAACAGGATTAAGTGACTTCCTCAGGGTCATACAACTAGTAAGTGTCTGAGTCCAGATTTGAACCCAGGAAGATGGGTCTTTTTGACTCCAGGCCTGGCACTCTGTCCACTGCAGCCCCATCTGCCCCAGAGAAAGACAGAAGAGGGTAGGATGAAAAGGTATATGTAGGGGAGGTAGTCTTGGCAAAGAGAAAGGTTGCCTTTTCCTCAGACACTGGAATGAAGGGAACTGTCGGGAATGGCTTCATTTTTTTTTTATCAAGTATGAGGAAAGGTCTTCTGCTAAGAGGGTGAGGGGAATATGTGTTATCAGAGTCTTGAGGAGTGAAGAGGATTTGGAACAATCAGTGTGGTTATTTAAATAGCTCTAGTAACCAAGGACGAACATAGTCTTAGATAAACAAGCATTCTGCACCCCTGTATGCAGAATACTGTGTTGGAGACTGAGGAAAATAAAAGGTTAGGATAAGAAACAGGTCCTGCCCTCAAGAAACTTACAGATGAAACAATACTGATAGCTGTAACATACAATACTACATATGAAGCCTAAGTGCATTAGGGAGGTACAAAGCAAAATGCTCTATGAGAGCTGAGGAGTACAGTAATTCTGAGTGTACACTATTTATAGGTACAGTGCTTAGGACATGCCAAAGGTCGGAGTGGGCCAAACTGAAAGAAGAATGTTATTTGACTTCATCAGGCCTCTTACAGAATTAAACTGGGCATTCACAGATGGTATGTTCTTTTCCTTTGTATGTCATTCAGATCTTCCCAACGAAGGTCCTTTTGGGAGCCACCATGTCCACAGGACTACTAGAGGGATATGTAGCTGCCATGGTACTAAGTGCGGTAGGTGACTCCCTCGGATATTTCAATGGGAAATGGGAGTTCCTATTGGATGGTGAGAAGATCCACAAGCAGCTTGCCGAGCGTGGAGGTTTGGATGCCATCGATATTGAAGGCTGGAGAGTCAGTGATGACACAGTAATGCACCTGGCAACAGCAGAAGCCCTCATAGCTGCTGGGAAAGAAGAGAACCTGACCCAGGTGTATTCCCTTATAGCAAGACACTATAAAGCATGCATGAGCGACATGGTTGGCCGAGCTCCAGGTAATCGTCATCTTAGAGATGGGAAAGTCAGGTGTGATTAGGTGGAAGAGAAATGTTGGCTGAATTAGATTGAAATTCAGAGAATTCTTCTGGGTCTTCAATCATTACCAGACCCGACTCCCGAGTCAAATTCCACTTCAGATATTTAGTAGCTGTGTGACTCTGGGCAAATTATTTCATCACTCTGTGTCTCAGTTTCGTCTTCTGTAAAATGAGAGAATAGACTTGATCGCCCCTAAGGTCCCATTTAATTCTGAATTTAAGATTGATCCCTTCCTTTCTATTCCCACTGCATCCATAATACTTCAGGCCCTCACTTCTTCTTTTACCAACTTTTATAATAGTCTCCTAACTCATCTTCTTGCATCCAGCCTCTTCCCTCTCTGATGTGACCTACAAACCATTACCCAAATCTCCTTCCACTCTGATCCTGTCCTTCCTTTTTACAGAAGTCTTCAGCTGCTCTCTACTGCCCAACAAACAAAGGACAGGTTCTCCATCCTTGCACTTATGGCCCTCCACCATCTGACTTTGATTTACTTCTCCAGCTTTGTCTCATCAGACTCTCCTTCTCTTACAGTTGTTGCCTCTCTCTGTCTCATTCTCTGTATGCCACTTGTCATCTGAGCCTTTAGTCATGCCATTCCTTATGCTTGGAATGGATTCCTCCCCCCCCCACACACACACACATACACACACCCCACCCTTTTCTCCATTTGTTGAAGACCCTCCTTTTCTTCACCTCAGGTGCCACTTCTTCTACAAAACCTTCCCTCAACCTCCACAAGTGAAAGCAAGCTTTCTCCTTACCAAATCTCATGGCACTTTGCCTAAACCTCTTCATCTTTTTATACTGTCTCACAGCTGGGTGGTACACTAGGATTGTAATCAGGAAGATTCATCTTCATGAGTTTAAATACTGCCTCAGACACTTACTAGCTGTGTGACCTGGGCAAGTTACTTAACTTTGTTTGCCTCAGTTTCCTCATCTGTAAAAAGAGCTAGAGAAGGAAATGGCAAACCATACCAGTATCTTTGCCAAGAAAAGCCCAAATGGGGTCATGTTGCCCGCAACCAGATTGTACACCGAATGGAGAGGCGTGAAATAACTTATGACATGGGCCAGGCGGAGTAGAATTACTGACTCAGTTTATTCATCTGAGGGCAAAGAATATATAGGGAAGATCTAGCCTAACTTCAAAGAGTCCTCCCCGTGAGATACTCCCCAGAACATCTGCTGAGGATGGGACAATCATGAATTTCCTCCTCATCAGGGCTCCTAGATTGGGCTGTAGATTCCAAGGTTTTCCCAGGCGCCTTGGCACCACCTGCATAGAGGAGTAAATGTGTAAACCTAAGGTTCAAAGAGAGAGAAGGGATGTCTCAGAGACCTCTTTATTAGGAAGGAATTGGGGAGCCATACCACTTAATCCATGAGCCCTTTTGGGTAAAAGCCTGAGCAGAGGTCAACTCTGCCTTGGATCTTAAACCCTTATCAGACTCTTAAGATTGGCCCTCAACAGGGTCACAAAGCATCAACTGAACTAAAACAACTGAACAACAACTTTCTAACTTCAGACCCAGCATTTTATCTACTGCAGCATCTAGCCGCCATCAAGTTCAACTTCTTCATTTTACAGATAGGGAGGCTGAATCATAGAGAAGGTAAATGACTTTCCCAGCATCATGCAATAAGTGTCATAGGTGAGATCTGATCTCATCTTTCTGACCTCAAGTCCAGTGCTCCCCATCCACTAATCCATGCTGCCTCCCTGGGACTAGAGTCCAGTTTTTCTGATGGCTGCTGCTCTTCTTTCTAGATTTAGATGTCTTTCTGTAATACCTAGAAACTTCAGTTGTTAAAACTCTTGTTAGGAAATGGATTCATCTGCTGGCTAATGATGTTGCTTGATAAGTTGGGTTGGGTGACTTTAAACTCTTTTGTGCGCTTTGCCTTTTCCTTGAAGATGCTTCATGAGCATCCATCTTCCTCTTTCTTCTTCCTCATAACTTCATCTTTGAAGGCTATTTTCACCCCAAATCTTATAGGTAATGCAATGTAAAAGAGAAGAACACTATTGTTTGTTTGTTTTTTAGGCAGTTGGGGTAAAGTGACTTGCCCAAGGTCACATAGCTAATAAGTGTCTGAGGCTGGATTTGATCTCAGCTCCTCCTGACTCGAGGGCCAGTGTGCTGTCGACTGTGCCACCTTATGGCATCTATTCTTGAAGCATGATATTGACACATGGGGATAGTAATTATGGAAGGAAGACAGATGCCAGTGGGGAAGAGCAGCCCCCACCGTCAATAGTTACACAGGTAGCAGATAGCTGATGGCTCGGACATGCTGAAGGATACTCACTCTGATCCAAGGCCCACACAGGGCTCAAATGTATAGAGACCTTTTAAACAAAGACTTGGTGTGACAGTAATAGGAGGCTTCCCCATCACAAGTGGGTTGGAAAAATGAGGTAGTAAAGACCACTGAAACAAGGATATTCTCTGAATTGTCTAGTAAGGAATGAGAAATGATGAGTAGAGACCCGAGAAACTTAATTCTAACTATGAAGAGGGAGCTGGTGGTATGATGGTAGAGTGCTGGGCCCAGAGTCAGGAAACCTGAGTTCAAATCCAGCCTCATACACTTACTAGCTATGTGACCCTGGGCAAGTCACTTAACTACTATCCACCTCAGTTTCCTCAACTGTAAAATGGGGATGATAATAAAACCTACCTCCCGAGGTTGTAGTGACAATCAAATGAGGTAATATTTGGAAAGTACCTAGCACAATGCCTAGCATATAATAGACTCTATATAAATGTTTATTCCCTTTCTCCCCTTCCCACCTCCATAAAAGAGGCTGGGTGGGGGTGTGTCATGGTATATACCTAGGTTAATTAAGCCTTACTATACATGCACCCTCAGGGCTGGGGCCAAACTGGTCAAGCTGGGTTTCACCAGCCCACAGCTGGTACTGATACATTCCCACCCTAATCCTTTACAGGTGGTGCCAGTGTGTCCAATGCTTTGAAGCTGGAGCCAGATGAACCCAATGGATGGAGGATTCCATTCAACAAGCATGAGGGGGGCTGTGGTGCTGCCATGCGTGCCATGTGTATTGGATTAAGGTTCCCACACCCTGAACAACAAGACACGCTGATCCAAGTAAGCATAGAGAGTGGCCGCATGACCCATCACCATCCCACTGGCTACCTTGGGGCTGTTGCCTCTGCTCTCTTTACCTCTTACGCAGTGAATGGCAAGCCACCTCAAGAATGGGGAAGGGGATTGATGCAGGTGCTACCAGAAGCCAAAAAGTACGTCATCCAAGCTGGCTATTTTGTGAAAGAGAACCTTGAATCCTGGTGAGTGAATATGCATGCGTATCTTATTTATTGGTTTAATGAACCCCTTGGTCATATGGTGGGTTTAACAACTTGTTTTCCAACCAGTGACTTAGAGAAAAGTCCTTCAGTAGGTGCCTTTACCTTCTCCTCTATCCCGCTCCCCTCTCTGCCCTCCCAGATTTTCAGGTTTACTTGCAGTTAATAGCTACTGGACAGTTGTCTCTAGAGGGAGACATCTTGGTTCAAATCCCACCCCAAATGTTCATGCCTTCAAAATCTGTAGCCTATAATAATCAAGGTAGTCCAAGTGAACATACAAATGATCAGTCTAAGACACCTGCCTTCTCCACCTCCCATGTTAGTTAACATCATGCTTTCCAGCTTCTATTTGCTGATGAGAAGCTTCCACACATGGTGGTGATTTTCATGATGCATTTGTTAGTGCAAATGCAGAGATTCACTATTTTCTGTCTTCCCTTGATTCATGATGATGCATGATGTCATGGCGCATGATTGATGACGCTGATGCATTGCAACACTTGGCAATGATCCTTGAGAGCCGGCTTTTTTTCACTTGCTAATTTTGCAGTGTAGGAAGCCAGTTGGAAGGCAGCCATATAACTTCCTTTTTCCTCAGCATTCTAGAGGTCACTCCACGCTGCCATTCTTAGAATAAGAAAGGCACGGGCAGGTTTCTCCTGAAGATGTTGGTTACAGTTATGTGAGAGTCTAGTCTTCCCCTTTAAAAGGTTAAACTTTGCGTAATGCTCCCCCTCTTCCAATACCTCCTATGAAGATCTGAGTTTCTGTTCCCATCCTGCTTTTCACAGTAATCTACTTTATATCAATTTCATTTGTACTTATATTTCTATATGTTCCTCCCTGTTCCCCCCAATACATCTTAAGATCCTTGAGGTCAAGGAATGTTTCATTTTTATCTGTATCTATAGGACTTGGCACACAGTAAGCACTCAATAAATGCTTGTTCAATTGAATTCCTGTAGCTGAGGGAGAACTGATTTTGAGTGGATAAATATCTATATCTATAGATATAGCCATATCTCATAGATCTAGAGCTGGAAGGCATTATGAGACCTTCTAGACCAACTCCCCTCATTTCACCTATTTGGGAAACTGAGGTCCAGAGGCTTGTCAAAGTCACACAGATAGTAAGCACCAGAGATGGAATTTAAACCCATGTTCTCTGTCTCCAGAGCCAATATTTTTTCTCTTATACTTTTCATCTATCTATCTGTTGTCGACCTGAAAGTTTGGTTAAAGAAGGCAAACAGGTTAGGTGATATATGATTATATAGTTTATTCCCTTTTTGCTAGCGAATCATGTCGACATGGAAGCCAGAAATTGATTCTGACCCCCAGATTAAGCAAAATGAGAGAGGTTTTATACAGTTTAGAGTGATCAGACTCAGGATGTCTGTGTTACAAAAAAATACAGCCTCCATATTTTTTTTAACATATAGCATGGGAAAGGAATTTTCTTAATTGAATAGATTGTAAATACAATAAAATAGGAGAATGTAAAAGTGTCAATTGAAATTATAGACCAAGATAAGAAGAGTCCCATCATTCAAGAGAGTGTCTGGTCCCAGACATCCTGGGCTTAGTGATAACGAACAGGAAGAATGCTGGTCAGTTCCATTTGGTCCTGGAATTTGCTGATACAGAAAGGGGTGTTTTTAGTTCACTCAAAGAGAAAAAGATTAATTCAGGTTTTTGGCCCTTATTGGGGCTCAGTTGATCTTAAATGATTATCACTATCCATCTATCTATCTATCTATCTATCTATCTATCTATCTATCTATCTATCTATCTATCTATCTATCTATCCATCCATCTATCTATCTATCTGTATATCTATCTATCTATCTATCTATCCATCCATCCATCATGTCTACTCTGTCATTTATATTTCTGTCATCTATTTGTCTATCCATCTTTACCTATCATCTGTCTATCATTTATCTGTCTAACCATCTTTGTCCATCATTTGTTATCTGTCTATCACTGTCTGTGTATCTATGTTTCTATCTATCATCTGTCATCTGTCTATCTAACCATCTCTATCTAGCTATCCATCCTTATCTGCCATGTCTACCTATCTATCCATCTCTGCCTCTATTTCTCTGTCATCTATATATCTGTTGTCTGTATGTCTATCCATATCTATCTTTCTGTCTACCGTTTCTGTCTATCTAACCATTTCTTTCTATCATCTGTCTGTCATCTATCTAATCATCTGTATCTATCTATATCTATCTATCTATCTATCTATCTATCTATCTATCTATCTATCTATCTATCTATCTATCTATCTATCTTTCTGTCTATCTATCTAATAGAGAGAGTATTTTGTTTGGAGCCAGGATTCTTGGATTTGAAACACAACTCTGACACTGCTTGTGACCATGGACAATTGACTGATCCTCCCCAAGTCTCATTTTCCACATCTGTAAAATGAGGTGAATGCTACCTGTACTATGTACCTCCCTCATAAGATTATTGTGAGGAAAGTTCTTTCCCAATCCTAATTAAGCCTCAATAGAAATGTCAGTAATTTTAATTTTTATTCCTGTAGGCTGCTTGCTATCAGTATGAAAATTTCCTCAGTAAGGCATCCGCTTGGGCTTTTTACTGTGGATTACTGACTTAGTTGTGGTTTAGAGTTTACTGCAGATTTTTTCATTTATTTGTTTGTTTGTTTGTTTATTCTTGGCTACAGGGACTACTTCAAAGATCAGTGGGAAATGTACTTGAACCTTCGAGGGATTTCAAATGGCAGACCCCCTATTTTCCCAAAGCCTTTTGGTGTGAAAGAGAGAGATCAGTTCTACAAGTCAGTGAGTTATTCTGGCTGGGGAGGCAGTAGCGGCCATGATGCTCCCATGATTGCTTATGATGCCATCCTTGCCTCAGGAGACTCTTGGAAGGAACTTGCTCACCGGGCTTTTTTCCATGGTGGGGACAGTGACTCCACAGCCGCCATTGCTGGCTGCTGGTGGGGGGTCATGCATGGATTTAAAGGGGTTAGCCCCTCCAATTATAAAAAATTAGAATATAAAGATAGATTAGAGAAAGCAGCCAGGGCTTTGTATGTTCTCCAGTCAAAGGAAAATTCAGCAATTACCCTTTAGAGAGAAATGCGGTTCTTTCCTAATTGGTTATACCTCTTCGTTGAGGGTAAGAATGATTATAACCCCCTTTCTGTCTCATCTAGCCCTTAGCACAATGCCTTTCACAAAGTAAGCACTTCATAAATGTTTGACTGACTGACTGGCTGATTGATAGTGGTGCCTCACCTTTTCCAAAGCCAAGAGATTTAATTAAGTAGTCAAGAGATTTTAAAGCATTAAGTTACATTACCTTTGGGAGATTGCTTCCTGCCCATCCTAGTCCCTGGACCATATGCAGTCCTCTACCAGGCTCCATACAGTCATTACTCTTTTGAGCTCCAAGAGTGACATAGGCAGAACTCTGAAAGAAATCTGATCTAGTGTTTCAAGAGAGAAGGTGGAGGCAGTAGGTTCTTACCCTTGCCTTGTTTGCAAGACTCACTTCTTATCAACTGCATACTTCAAATGAAAGAGCAGAGAAAAAGGGGAGGGGAAGGAAAAAGGAGGGGGACGAGCCGAGCTAAAATATGAACACAGAATCAGGATTTTGAATTGCAAAGGACTTCACACAGCTCTTCACTTAGGGACATATTAAGCTTGAGGAGCAAGGGGCGGGACAGGTGAGGCCATGATTTTGTTTAAATGACCTGTGAGGCTGCCGAACAATACCAACACCAGGTGCAGGATGGTGGAATCTGTGTACCTGTGTCGTACTTCAAAATTGCTCGTTGCTTGGTTTCAGGCCACCATTTAAAATGTTTGCAGTGGCAGGGTTCATCAAAGTTTCTTTGTTTCAAGCGGCTTTGTGTCTGCTTCCTGACAGCAGGGTGCATGTTCCAGCTTTCCAGTTGTGTCCACCAAGACAAGAATCAGAACTATCTTTTAAAAGAAAGGGCACCAGATCAAAGAGTACACTCACATCTGATTTAAGCCTTTGCAAATATGGTTCACATCTACACTATTTTATTACTCAAGGGAATAAACTTTCAAGGGGGGTGGTGAGGGGAAGAGGGACAAAAAACCAAAGAAAAATGAAACTGTCCCAACTGGTCCTGGGATGTCATGCTGATAAGACTCCTGACTCACAAGTGCAAGTAAGAGGAAGAATGGCGAGTCGTTTTGCTCCTGGAGGAGATATGTCACTGCTCTTTTGCTTCTGTAGCCACAGTTGCATATGTGTAGCAGGCACTCAAGGAGATACAAAAGGATAGTGAAACAGATTCCCCTGTCATGAAGTTTCAAATCTAGCAGCCTGTGAGCTGACAGGAATTTCTTCAATGTTGAGGGCTGATCTTAAGAGTCTGATAAGAGTTTAAAATCCAAGGCAGAGTTTGATCTCTGCCCAGGCTTTTACCCAAAAGGGCTCAATGATTAAGTGGTACGGCTCTCTCCAATTCCTTCCTGATTAGGAGGTCCCTGAGACATTCCTTCTCACTCTTTGAACCTTAGATTTACACATTCACTCCTCTATGCAGGTGGCGCCAAGGCGCCTGGGAAAACCTTGGAAAATACAACCCAATCTAGGAACCCTGATAATGAGGAAATTCATGTTGTCACATCCTCAGCAGATGTTCTGGGGAGTATCTCACGGGGAGGACTCTTTGAAGTTAGGCTAGATTTTCTCTATATATCCTGGTACCCTCAGATAAATAAACTGAGTCAGTAATTCTGCTCCGCCTGGCCCATGTCACAAGTTATTTCACGCCTCTCCATTCGGTGTACAATCTGGTTGTGGGCAACACTTCAACTGTGCGTGTTCAAGTTCATTATATACTGCTTCACGTATTTTGAAGCAAAGCATGTGTGTAACCATGATTGTAGTTGTCTGTGATCACCGAGTGCGTTGTAGAGAATAGAGAATAAAATGACTTTTTTCTGAGCATTCATTCATAACAAAATATTTTGGCCTGCAGCATCTTCATAAGCCCCACCTAGACCTACCCTTGTTCCCATGAGCTCCACTCGACCATAGCCACTTCCCTTTACTTGTCCTCTGTCTCACTAATGTGGGTAAACTGGAACATCTGTGAGCTACAAGTTTCTGTGAAGAAGCCTTAGTGTCCTGTGGAACAAAAAGAGGCCGGAAAGGAGAGCTCTATTTATGTTTCAAATTCCCTTCAGTATGTCTTGATTTCTTTGAAGTTCATGAGCATGTGGGTTGTCGTCACTGACCACAAACCCCCACATGTCCTCTTCTATACCTGACTTCAAATCTAACCTTGAAGAACTGGAGCTGAGAGTGTTAAGCCCACTCTTTCATCTGTCTCCAGGCCTGTGATTTTGATTGGGCTCAGTCTTGGGGAGCCTGGTCTTTAATGAGAGAAAGCTCCCCATTCTCACATACATTGGCTCATTGAACCACCCACTCCTCTACCACCAGAGTTAATTTTCATGTAAGGCTCACATCTAGGGCTTTCCCAAAGAGGGAGAGTTAAAAAAAAAAAGTACACCATGTTCAGAATGAATAAAGTATATAAGACAGGTAATTTATTCCTTCACACACTGAGCAAAACGGAATTGATTCCTTAACTTCTAAGTTAAGGTACAATCTGCTGGGAGGATGACACTGAAACCTCATTAAAACATAATGTAATTTATACTCCTGTTCATTCGACATTTTACATTTCTTCCTGGCATTGCACTGTTCATACCATTCCTGGTCCACGTCTGATAAATTAGTGAAGCTTGGACTGATGCTCCTGTTGGTAGTCATCTTCTCTGATGCAGAAGGTTTCTCTACCACCAGCCCACTCTTGCTGCTACTGCAATCAACCTCTCCTTTAATTGGATGCAGGAGCCCCGGGCCTCTTAAACTCACAAGGTCACCTCCAAGTTTCAACAAAATGTCTATCTTGAGAATGGTGTTTGTTTGCCCATTCCAGAAAGAAAACACAAAGCAGAAAAGAGTAGTAGGGGTCCAGAGGCAAATTGAGTACCACACATTTCTCCCCTCCCCCCCACAAAGACAGACAAAGCAAAGTGCTTCCTCCTTGCTACACAGGAGAGTTGTGGCCAAAAGGCTGAACTGGAGGCTGTTTATTCTTTTAATTGATACAGCTAGTCATTCAGTCAACTAACACGTATTAAGCACTTATTTTTATTTATTTATTTTTGGTGAGGCAATTGGGGTTAAGTGACTTGCCTAGAGTCACACAGCTAGGAAGTGTTATGTATCTGAGGTGGGATTTGAACTCAGGTCTTCTTGACTCCAAGACCGGTGTTCTATCTACTGTGCCACTTAGCTGACCCTTAAGCATTTAATTGTGCCAGACTATGTGCATGTGAGTTATCACTGGGCACATAGGTCCACACATCCTAGAGGCTCTTCTCTAGTCCTTGCACTAGGTGTAAGGGATACAAAAAAGGTGAAAGATAGTCCCTGAAACAATCTAATGCAGCCCCCGCCATCCCCCACCCCTGCTGTCATGAGGTACAGGAACAATCAAGGGATCACTGAGTATTACCACGTCATAATAAAAAACAAAATCCTTTCAGTGCCAGAACACCACATTTGTACAGGTTCCAAAGCACCCATGTGGTCACTGGAACCAGCAATGGCAACTTGAGCGTGTTTTTTCTTGTCCCCATAAGTGATCATCATCCCAGAATTCCAATGAATCAGGTCAGTGCTCACTGCAATAAAAAGATGCACGAATCACAAAAGAGCCATCCAAGCCAGCGAAGCACTGTGATCAGTTATGAAAGGGGAGAGCACTAGCCTGTCCCATCATATATGTCTATAAGCTAGTGTATGTTATGGGTATGAATGTGACATTTGTGGTATAGTGGGGGTGATGGCTGTTCCCAGTGTTTCTCACCATATAATCTATGATTTATAAATAGATTCACAACTGAAGGGGGGGGCATTCATCAGGCCACATGTCTCAAATATTGTTTTAGACCATATGGCCATTCTGTCAATAGGGCAGGAGGATGGGGACACGAGGTTTGTGATTTCCTGCCATGAGCATCCTTTGCTTTTAGTTTCCACCTTATGGGGAGTGGGAGTGGGGCAGCATGTGCATATCTACTTTTACTCCCCTCCAGATAGATAATGGGGATGTGGTGCCTAATATTTAGTTGTTGCCACTACTCCAGTAACCAATATCCCAGTATTCAGGAAGAGGGAGAGTCATCCACTTGTACACTTGGGATCAGATGATATCACTTAGCATCTGGTTACAGAAAGTTAGAAAAGCAGGGAAGGCTAAGGACTCCTTACCATTCACAGCATGATTTATAGATTGCTATAAAGCATTTACTCACACATTATTTTAATTCGATCTACCCCCTTTGAAGTAGGAAAGCAGGAATTGTCTCCATTTCACAGATGGGAAACTGAGGTTCCGAGAGGTTAAATTACTTACTGTAAGTCACAGGACTGGTATGTCTCTACTTCTCATCTCCACTTCTCATTTTTTCCCCCACCTTACCTTCCACCTCACCTTCTTCAAATTTCAGTTCAAACTCCAAGTTTCTGCTCTCTGTCCATATTCCAGGATGCCTAAATCACATTTCTGGTCTAGCCCAGGGCCTAGCCAGGTGCTGATAAGCTAAGGCCACAGGGGTTGGTGACTTTCAACAATCCTTGTCTTTTTTTTACTTGCCCTTCTAGTTTGGCCTCGGTTCATTGCTGTGGGGTTGCCTGCCTTCTCAATAGAAGATCTTAGCTTCCAGATTCCTGAAGAACACTTCTATTTTTGGCTCTAGGGTAAGGGGTCCTCCCAAGCTGGGGGATGGCAGGAAGGACATAAATATTGGTACCCACAGTTCTATACTTGACTCAGGAATAGAACAGGCAGTATTATTCCTACACAGAAAACATAGGAAGGGGAGCATTAAACAGTAGATAATCATAGAATAATTATAGTCATTTAAAAGTCTAGTCTTCAAGCCTCATTGGGACATTCGCAGTGGCATTGCTCCTTAGCTATTGACATTTCACTTCCACCAAAGAGAGCCCAATCAACCTCAAGTGGGCTCTTTCCTTTCCACTGAATTGAGTCTTTTTATGGGTTGCTCTATGCTTGCCAGCTGCTCTGCCCAGGCCTCTGCTGCTACCAATGGTTCGGTGGCCACTGACCCAGTAGCTGATACCTCACTACCAGGGTGTTCAGAAAGGAAGGAAGATACCAGTTGCCTTTGGTGATCGCACAA